AAGAGTATAATTGCTGAGCATAGTTAATATGATTTTGTAGTCTCCCATATAAACACGTTACCTAAATACTAGCACCGCAGGGGCGTGGCCACCGCCCAGAAGTCTTACCCACCTTCTCAGCTTTGATGGTTTTAAAGAGCAAATATTTCCATCACCTATTATACAATAAGAACATTCTGTATTTGTGGCCCTAGGGAGGTACATTAATAATGTAAAATTCCAAGACAAGATTTCAATACAGAGTGAAGGTGTTTTGGCTATAAATCAAATAGCCCACACTTGACCTCAATGAATCCACTCTAAGGCAATGCAGCTTCTAAGTTGCATACACACATTTACTGCAGTTACAAGACAGATGGTTACCTAAACAGTTCTCACAGGTTTAAAAAAGTTAAAAACCTAATTCCAGCTCTTCTAGTCAGAAATTGAAATATCACTAAAGCTTTGAGAGAAAACCAAACCCTATGGGTCTCCAGTTTAAATGACACATCTGTACTGGCTCTTAATGCCATTTCATGAACATGCCGACCATCTCCGTCACAGAACAACTGCTGAAGTCAAAAGGGGCAATGGAGATTTGATGTACTGAGTACAGCTACCAATTTACTTAGATTGATACTTTATAATTATTTGTAATCCTCTTCTCAAAATTCATTTCTGGTAACCAAAAATAAGGAAGAATATATCCACTGTTAGTAAGAAGCCAAAACTTTTCCACCTTGCAGGTCTGTTAAAAACAGGGAAGATGAATGATGCCATTCATATCCCTGGCTCTAGGGGGTGCCAGCTGGCTTAGCTGCCAGAGCCCAGGCTGGCGGTCCAAAACTGCACTCCTACAATGGGTAGAAGATCACTTTTACCCATAAAAGACCTTTTTCTTCCCATCAGCTGAGAAATGGATTTCAGATTGATCCCAGTTTTGTTTGGATGATGAATAAAAGAGAATTCATTGCAAGTCTTTTACATCACACAGACCTTCCCCAGCTCCACTATCCAAGAGTGATGACCCACCTAACAGTTTTAGTCATTTGCTACTGCCTCAAGAGAGGCTGTCTACCCCTCAGCTGTGCTGCAGCAAGACTGCCATGCAGCACTTCTCTTTAAAATAGATGGTCCTAAAAAAAGCCAGCAGCAGTACTACAACAGGACAAGGACAACACAATTAGTGTTCCTCAAAGTCCAAGCTGTTCCTTTCCACCTGTAAAGAGCAGCATCAGAGAATTAAGAGAATAGCAGTAGAGCAGAGTTAAACTTCTGGTCACCATAACATCAAGATACGATGCCCTTGTCTGACTTCAATCTACTGCTTTGATGAGTAGCAAGCAGAGAAGTCCTCTGTCTCCTGAGACTTTACTAAGCCAACTTAGCGTCAGTCCCTTTCATCAGCACAGGTTATCGTATGATTAAACAAGCTAACATAACCTGAGGGACAGAAAGTTCACGAGTGTTGTCTCACATTGCCTCAAGTTCTTTAATAGCTACATTGTTCACGCTTCCATGACCAAAAAAAAAAAAAAGGTAATTCAACAGCCTTCACACTGGAGAGGGATTCAGGCTGATTTCTGCTATTCCTGGGGGAAGGGACTTTTGTTTCTTTCTAAAAAGATGTTCAGCATTTTTAAAAAATACTTACAAGTTCATTCTGCCTTCACAAAGAGGATCCAAGCAGCCATGCAACGAGCCTCCTCCATGTAGGCAGTATGAACATACCTGTAGCTAAACAAAAGCAATGGAAGGAGATGTTTCCTAAAGTTAGTTAGCACCAACCAGATCAGTGTGTTTCTTGAAGTTAGCACCAGATCAACATGTTTCTTAAAGTCAGCACCAGATCAGGATTGTGCTCAGATTCTCCAGTATATTCCAGCAGGAAAAGAAACAAACATTAGTAGCAGACTTCAGAGCCAAGGACAGCCCTATCTTCTCATAGCAGCACGTTTTTGATCGCTACATTCATCACATTTCTCCCTCTTACTCCAAAATGTCTGGGGAGAAAGATGGTGGTGCACAGGGATGAACACAGGCACATCAAAATCAAGTTTCTCCATCAACCATGTCAAAAGCATTCGTTTCTTACTAAGTGTAAAACAAATGTTGGGAAGTAATAGCCTGGTAGATAAGAAAAGCAGCAGCAGCAGGATTCATCCTGATCTTGATAAGGCTTCTAACAAAGGCAGGTGTTGTCAGGAAACCAGTGAAGTCTGATCCTGATGAAAGAACATAGTGTTGGCATACCCAACTTTGCTGGGGAAAAAAACACTGTACACAAAATAGTTATTGAAGTTGCACTATCATAATTAAAGGATTATCTAATGTGGTTCTGAAAGGGTCTGCCATGGGCCTAAAACTGTTTTTCATTTACTTGATGTTACAGTGGAATGTAGGCTTAAGTCTGCAAATATCAAGCTAAGAGTTGCAAGATCACTGGAGGACGGGATGAGAATTCAAACCAAGTTTTCAACAGACGAACCGAAGATGAGGTCTGGAAAAGCCATAACATAATTTCAGTAGAGACAAATCTGCAGACAGTACAAAACCAGGAGAAGTTGCTAGCACACCAGATGGTTGTGCTGCCATTCAGAGGGACCTGGACAGGCTGGAGAATTGGGCTACGAGGAATTTAATGAAGTTCAAGAAGCAGAAGTGCAGAGTCCTGTACCTGGGGAGGAACAACCCCATGCACCAGTACGTGCTGGGGTCTGCCTGGCTGGAAAGCAGCTCTGCAGAAAAGGCCCTGTGGGGCTCCTTGTGGACACCAGGTTGAGCATGAGTCAGCAGTGTGCCCCTGCTAAAAAGAAGGCAAATGGTATCCTGGGCTGCATTAGGCAAAGTATTGCCAGCAGGTCAAGGGCGGTGATCCTTTCCCTTTATTCAGCACTGGTGAGGCCACACCTGGGGTGCTGGGTATAGTTCTGGGCTCTCCAGTACGAGAGAGATAGGGACTTACTGGAACAAGTCCAGTGCAGGGCCACAAAGATGATAAAGGAACTGGGGCATCTTCCATATGAGGAAAGGCTGAGAGGGCTGGCACTGTTCAGCCTGAAGAAGAGAAGACTTGGGAGGGATCTTATCAATGTGTATAAATACTCAATGGGAGGGAATGAAGAGCACCACTAGTCTCAGTAGTGCTCACTGGCAGGACAAGAGGCAATGGACAGAAATTTAAAAAAAAGGAAATTCCACCTGAATGCAAGGAAGCACTTTTTTTACTTTGATCACTTAGAGTGATCAAACAGTGCAGTGGAACAGGTTGCCCAGAGATATTGTAGAGTTTCTATCTGTGGAGATACTCAAAACCCAACTGGGCCCGGTGCTGGGCAACCTGCTCTAGCTGACCCTGCCTGAGGAGGTGGGGTTTGGACTAGATGATCTCCAGAGGTCCCTTCCAACCTGAACCATTCTGTGACTGATTCTGTGAAGTAGACTGAACTAGGAAATGGGTAAGAATCAGAGAGAAGGGGTTATGGAAGACCAAACTGAAAATTATTTGCTGCTACAAAAGCCAACACTACATTAGGATGTACAAAACAGAAATCCTTCTACTATATGCTACTCTGAGAAGACCTCAGCTGGAATCCCACTTCTAGTTTTGAGCACCAGATTTCAGGTGCTCATTTCAAATGGGTCAGCTAAAGAAAGATCCTCTTCAGCACAAGAGAACGATCAGAGATCCTTAGTAATCTATGAGGAGTTTAATCTAGAAACAAGAAGCTGGGAAATTATATTCAAGTAGTAGACTTGCAGAGAGGAAGGAAATAAACTGCCCTCCGCATCCTCTGTGCAAATACAGGTTACACAAAAAAACACATCAAAAAAACAAAGACTGAAGTCCTAGATTTCCTCCAGAGGTCATTCAGCCTCCACTACAGGCTTTTAAGAACAGATAAAGCATCTCTAAGGAAGTGTCAGTGGTATAATGGAGCCATGGGAGAGAGGTGAGGGAGTACTACAGCTTCCAGATCCCTTGGAGCCCTTTTTCACGCTTATATGAAATGACAGAGCTTCGAGGAAGAAACATTTCATTGAAAGGTTCAACAGATTCTGAGGCAACCCCCTACAGCTATAGCTTCCTATCCCTTTAACTCACTAGCTCTTAAGTTTTCACAGGTAAACTACCATTTCACAAAATTCATCAGATCAACACTATCCCTGTACCTTAAAGGGCTAAGCTCGAATAGATGGGCTCAATACAGAAGTAAACAGTTCTGTGACCTGTGTTACACAGGTCAGGTAGGCCTAAACATTTCCTTCACTTAACACTGCTAAGACATACATTTCTGATCGCTAGGAGTCACAATTTGGCTTACAAGACCGAGTGAGAGTGTCTAGTTTATATGAGAAGGCAGCTTGTACTGAGAATCTGACCAAGGAAAGACGAATACCCTGTATACATAAAGAACACCTCAACAAAAGAAATTAGGCCCTATAAGCAAAAAAAGAATCTCCAGGTCAATCTAGAATCTTCAGGCATCTTCCAGTTTCTCCATTAATAATCAAGATAAAAATATTTTAAAATTGTGATGTGAGTTTTAACTTTCTCTGTTGTCACACAAGATACAAAAAAGAATATTGGCAATTTATAAGCAAAATTCTTACCGCATTTCAACATGCAACATTGGTCTCACTTCTGTACGATTAAATAGACTATTTACACACAATACATATATATCTTTCCTTCTGTATGCACATGCATTGGTCCTAGCCTAGGCATCAAAGGCCACATGTGAGTTCTCTGGGTCAAATCTTGTTCAAGCAATTCCAGTCTGAATGTGTGTTTTCCTTTGGATAGCTTAGGATCTCATCTCAGTTCTTCCGAATATCAGCATAAACCACAGACTCTGACTTGTTAATCTTGTCGCTGTGCTGTCCTCCGGAGTGATCTAACTGCGCGTAAATGACTGGGCCCTGGGAACAGAATAAAAAAAGCACAATCAGTATTTTTCAGAATAAGCCATATTGCCCCTCATTTCCACAGAGGCTGCAGCAAGACCAAAGCTAAAGCAAGACCACAGAGCTTTTATGACTGCTAACGGCACTTTGAAGCAGGTGGAATGAACCCTCACCTACAAATGAGCTCTAGTCTGCCACCTTTCTCCTATCAGAAGCATGCCAAACAGCACCATTTCCTCCCTTTAATACTGTTACAGCTGCTTGCTTCTCACAAAAAGCAAAATCTAGAATCCTTTGTTCTGAAAAGCAGCAATTCTTACATGCTATGGAGCAAAGATACATGGCTTAGTCAGATGCATGCCAGATTTAATATTTTTCAAGAGGAACTGTACTACAGATTTACCGGTAGACAGCAGACTGTACTTCCCATACTGCCACTCAAGTCCTGTAAATCCCAGCACAGCTGTACCACTCGGATAATGAGGGAGAGAACAAACCTGCAGCCACCTTATGGCACTAGTCACTGCCCAAGCAAGTGATGGGATCAAGACTTGCGCAGCAGTGAGCCAGAAAGTACTGAAACGGTGCAGTAATGCAGAATTCTTACCTGACTTTCAAGCCAACCCAGGTAGTGAGCACCTCCACAGACACACTGAGCAAGCATGGCCACACACCTTCGTTATATTTGCTGGGGTGCAGTGGAGGACATTACAGCACCATCTTTCAGCAAAGCATGCAAACACACCAGCGCCTTCCTAAAACACCATGTCCTCCAAAACACAGCCCACAGGAAAGCGAACTGCAGCTATTTGAGACGGGCTGAGGACAGGACTGCATCCTATAAAGAGCAGGTACCCAACAAGACCAGTGGGACCTTTATGGAAACGTCTGACCTGCAGCTCCCATTCTGCATGCCCCGACTGACATAAGCACAGAGCAGAAGGCTGTTGACCACCTACCAGGTGACCTCAGCAGAGAGACCACGCACCCACACACACCCCCCGTGGAGGAGGGAGAGGGACTGTCCTGTTTTGGGGTGGGTGGGGGAAATTACAAGGAGAGATCTTTTAGTTTGGTTGCGGCTTTTTTAGCAGTTTTTGCTTCAAAACCATTTCATCCATTTAACTCTGTTTCCCTTCTGTCCCAGGAAGTAGCAGCCTTCACAGGCATTTCTCCTACCCCTTTCTCCCCAGTACTTTTGGTATCCTGCCAAATTAGAAAACATCTCTATGGAACTGACCCAGACATCCTTCCATCTATCTTCCAAAGCAATTAGGGGCTAGAGATGAAAAGAGACCTTCTGTACAGAAAATTAAGTCCTTGAAGGACCATAAGTACACTTCTGCACAGCTGTTTTCCCCCCAACACAATGGCAAAGCACGCACCTGATAAATACCTTGTTCTCTTTCAGAAGAGATCCAAATTTTCTTCCTTCCAGGTAAAGTATTTCCCAAGTGATAAAGAGTAGAGGAAGGAGATGGACAGAAGGATGAAAACTTGCGAGCAGATATAAAATGCTGAATACAAATAACAGACTGAGAAAATGCTCAAAAAAGAGACACTGATGTCTTAGAAAATTCTGGATTTCAAGTCTCATTGGAGCCACTTTTTTTTTTCTTTTTCTGCTATTGGCTCTCATGTTGTTCTGGTCTCCAACATTGTATCAGGATTACATTACTAATTCCAATTAGAGTGCAGTGTCTATATAAACTTCAAGGCAAAGTGACCCTAAGGTTTATTTGTAAGCAATTTTGGAAGTCTCATCTGCCTGAGGCCATAGGTCAAGGGTATGATAAATTCAGCTTGAGAGCATTTCCTATCAGTTAAAAAAAAAAAAAAAAAAAAATCTACAACTGCATAAAGTACTCACTATGACGTTTCAAGTTTTGTTCGAGTAATTCCGACGGGTCAATTGTCTACCACAGGAGTTCACTCAGGATCAGTTATCTTATCACTATTCTAATTTTATGCAGGTTAAATATAGTTATTCTGCTGCATCTAGCATGTTAGGTGGTGGTGGAGAGACTGACTGGTGTGATCACCTATCCAAACCAAGCTATCATTGTCTCGATGTGTTCACTATCACCTAAGTAAGTGGTAGATTAGCTAAGACAGAGGAAAGGAGGACCAAGGATTTGTTATAATGCTCCATTTATTTGACTTGCTGCCAACTGATTTTCTAGCTGATTACAGTCAGCACCAGGGCCATTTTTTTTCCCTGCATTTGACACCTCCAGTGATCTGAATCTTTGTAAAGACTCTTCTTCCACAAGTAAAAGCTTCAAAAAAGTCTAAACAATTCAGAACTTTCACCTAATCCCAAATAAGCTAATCCTGACTCTTCAGATCCAGAAGATGGACCAGCACTGCCATATAAAACCCAGCATTTTCCTAAGCCTTGCAATTTTTCCATTCAGAACTGAAGGGAAAAGAATAGCAGGTGTACCGATACCTTGCTAAGGGTTTGTCAGCAGAGTCATGAATTGCAAGTTACAGCAAAGAAAAAGGAATTACAAAGTTAGACCGTCATGGTCTAACAGTGGTCTACAGTATTTTCAAATTTTTTAGATTCTCAAAGATGTTGCAACTACCACAGATTCCAGCTCCAGGAAATTTATCTGAAATTTAAATCAAGATTCCTGGCACCATGAACTGCTCCTTCCCAGGGTCCTGGGGTCCAGTTCAAAGCCTGGAACAGAACTCAAACATAGCCTGTTCAGGTATGTCTTAAAGCAGAAAGGGCAAAGCCGGAGATCTGCACTTAAGTTAATGTAGATTTAGTGCTCCCTGCTTCTACACTGGCAGACCTACCTGCTTAAGATCTCTACACCATACTGCTCTGTACATCAGAAATGCACTTCTATGGAAGTTACACTTTAAGATCACTGCTTCAGCCGGCCCAGAAATGAATACTCAGCTACTTGGAAAGCACAAAGACAAATGACAGCCACCTTGGAGTTAGCATATCTCGGGACAACAGGCATCTGCCTTCCAGTTTGCCTGCTGCAACCCAGATTACTAGCTAAACAAGGACATCCATGTGGGAACACATATAGTTCTTGCCCTCACTGGAAATGCTTTTCTCAGTCATCCAAATAAGTCATGGTAGAATACGAGTCACTACAGAGTGATGGCATGGAGAAGAAACACCACATACAAATTTGACAGGACAGAACATACCTGCTGAGAAGGAAGACACAGTGAAAACAAGTGGAGTTGATTTAACCAGCTGAACATTCACAGAATCAGATATGCGTACTTTCAGCACTCTGGGGCACTCCAGAAAGCAAGGTCCACACTTGATAAACTTGCACCCAGAACACAAAGGAAGCGCAGGCTCAAGTGCACTTTCAGCTGAGAAGTGATGTGGATAAATACTTCATCACTAATTCTTAAACTGATACATAAATAACAAAATGAATAAACTCCATTTAATAAATTTAATTTACATGCCGCTCTTTGAGAGTGAACACCTCTATTACTGTTTTTAACTTGCAGAGGCAGGGGTTGTGTATTTGTATTCACAGTTCTCCACCAGTGAAGCACAAAGCATTCAGTCACTTCCTACACATCCTACCAAGTAAAAGGCTACAAGGAAGTCCACAGGCCTTTACTGTTTGACCGCAGCACTGACTGTGTGAACCATTGGTCTAAAACTGCCAGTTTTAGACGCAAAAGTGTGCCTGAATCAGCAAGCAGCCTGCAACAACTGGGAACTGCTAGGAATCTGAGTATCAGCATTTCACCTACACAACAGCTCAAAAGCTTGAATACTATAACTAATTTCTTGATTACCAAGAAATACCGGGTTTTACTTATATGTGATGCTAGATTTCAAATATTTTAATTTCCATGTTGATATCACCCTTTTTTTAAAAACAGTGGGTAGAAGTTAAAAATATAAGTGTAATCAATTGAAATTTAGTTTCCTCACTGATTTAAACCATCTGTTCAAAATCTGATCTACCCTGATTTTATTGTGGATCTTTTCAAAGAAAAGTAAACATGTTTACTTGCTGTTCTGTAAAGATGGGGCAAATGCTTAACAGAAGGTAGAGGAACCACTTGCTGCCACAAATGTCTGCCAAGAAGAGAATCCAGACAAAGCACTCTTTGCCTGATAAAAGAGATTAAAAAACTAAAAAACTAAACTAAAACTAAACAAAACTAAAGCCATTTGCCATATTTTTCCTTTGAGGTCAGGAGTGTTCACACTTCGGGTTTTCCTTTAGGAACTTCCCTGCGGGAAGACCCTGGAGGATTCTGTCAAGGAATAAGCAGACTGGAGTGACTACAGAAGGGCAAAAGCACACTGATTCTGAGTTATCTTTACAAAGTTTAGATTTACTCTGACATGTTCCTTCCAGTACATTGAGACCCAGAACACTGCGGACACAGAAGGGTGAGGACGCAGCAAGTTTTCACACCAAAACATTACAGAGAAGATAAAAGTATTTTTGCTTTCAAGATGTAAGTGCAGCACAGCAAAACTTGTCTTCCATGTAGCTCTCAGGGCACTTGCATGTACTGCTTCGTATCATGACAGTAATTAGATAAAACATCTTTGTCTTTTGACCTAGGGAAGTTGACTCCAACAGCCACTGCAACATACATCCCACACATAAGCTTTTTGCCTTTTTTTCTTTTTTCGGGGGGGGGGGGGGG